AGGAACGTATTAATAGTATCTATTTATTTTAGTTTAAGATTAAGAATAGCTGCTAGCGCTATAATTACTTTTTATAAAGTTAACTTAACTACTTTTATAAAAGTCTAGAAATAGTTAATTCTATAAACCTAGTAAAACTCCTTAATAACCTAGTATACTTTATATTTTAGAATCTTTTTATTTTAGTTTCTCTTTATTTAAAAGATATATTTACTAAGTAAATAATATAAAGTACTTAGTATTATATTATATTATAATATTAAATAGTCTAGGTTTTCTTATACTTTAATTAGTTATTTTTTAGCCTTCTTAGCTATACGCTAATAGTAAGTATCTTTACTAGTATAAGCCTCTTTAAGTATTTAAGGATTATTAGATATTAGATTTACCTTTTAATTACTTTAATAAATAAGTTTATTAGCTTAGTATTATCTAATTTACTACTTTCTAAGGCCTTAGCCTTTACTTCTATAAATTAAATAGTAGTAGTACCTAAGATACCTAGATTCTTATACTATAATTAGTAGGTTTAAGGTCTAGTACTTAGATTAATCGAGGAATAGCTTTTATTTTTTAAGCTTTTTAGATATCTATTTAATTTTAGTAGTAGAATTAGTAAATTATAAGGAATATTAACTTCCTTATCATTAGAATTAGTACTATTATTCTACTTGATAGAATCGTTCTTATTAGAAGTATTATTTAACTCTTATACTCTTTACTTAAGGTTATATTCCTTATTTGTAACGAATACTCAAACTGGCTAACTAAACTTGGCTGGGTGTTCGCTAGTTGGTATGCTATGATAAGATTGATAACTAAGTTGATAACTAAGTTGAGCACGAAGCTCCTATCTAATGGCAGACGTGCCAGTCTTATATAGAACCTTCATACCCCGCGTATGGTCCGAGTATAGAGTAATATAAGCCTTCCTTATACTTCCTTATACTCCGGTAGTATAGAGTAGTATAAGTCTCCCTTATACTTCCTCATACTCCCTAGTCACATGATCTCCTGTAAGGAAGAAGTCCTTGGATCGCTTAGCTACCCTAAGCGATCCCTATTTGCTATAAGAAACCTGGATGTGCCTGTCGAGGGTTGCGCCTCTTACTATGACAAGCATCACGTGAACACGTGATTCGTGACATTATTGTATACTATAAGTAGAAATACTACGCGATATAAGTTAGTTCAAGGATCCGAAATAGCTAGCTTTTAAGTTTTATTATAAGAATTAAAGTAGGTATTTACCTTATTATATACCTTACTATCTAGTCTTAAGATAAACCCTTCTTTATTAAATCTAACGTTAAAGAAGCGAACTATTCGTTTATATTTACCAAGAGATAAAACCTAGATTTACTAGATTTAATCTCCTTTATATCTAATAAGAACTCTCTAGTAGGCCCGAGATTTAATCTTCTTACTTACTATATAGTCTTATAATAGAATATACATAAACGTTTTATACCCGAGAACTCGAAAGTACTTAACTGTATGTAAGCTTATTATTTTAATTAGAATTAAATATATTAAAATAAGCTTTATATAAAATTACCTTTAAAAGAATAGAATTAGCTAACCTATTAGTTACTTTAATAATAGCCTTAAGGATTTTACTTTATAATTCTAGATTAATATCTTAGTTAAGGATTATATTTCTAAGTCTCTTAATAACTTTACGATTTAATCTCTTAGTAAGTAAGACTATCTTACGTGATGAAACCGGTATCTAACTAACTAAAGGTATCGAGTTCGACTGTTAGTATGCGGGAAAGAAGACAACTACCAGGTCGTGTGTTTACTCAAAGGTAAAATCGTCACTTGTACAAAGTAGTCAAGACAGCAAAGGTATTGAATGTAATATAAACTAAGTTGAGCACGAAGCTCCTATCTAAAGGCAGAAGTGCCAGTCTTATATAGAACCTTTGTTCTTTGTTCTAACTGTTGCTAGCTTGCTTGCTAACCTAGTCGCGCTATCCCTGCTAGACTGGTAGACCCGTCGTCCCGTCTAGCGAGATATTATCACGTGATACTAACCAAAGGAAATACCTGGATCGCTTAGCTGGTCTAAGGATCCCTATTTGCTATAAGAGCATACGATAGTGCTTGACCTGTCAGGACACCGCGTGGTCTTCACTCCTCACGTACTAACACGTGATTTGTGAAATCTTACTCTAGTAAACGTAGTATTATAATCTCGTTAATAATTCTAAATTTCTTAGTATAAGCCTTAATCTTATTAACTAAGTATTCCTTTCTACTATCTAGACGCTAGCTTTTAATCTTAGTACTATATTAAGTACGAATTAAAGCTTAGTATATTTTAATATAAGTTTATACCTTACTTTTCTTTTCTAATAAATATATAGTATAATACTAAGATACTTTATTTATTATAAAAGGAGTATATTTATAACCTTTATAAGCTACTAGGCTAATCTTAAATATATTAATATATAACTTTCTATAAACCTTCTTAACTTATAAGCTAGGATTAATTAATTTTAGTTTAGAGTATACAAGCTTTCTAGTTTTATAAGAATTATAATTAAACTTTTTTACACTAGTACTAGAATAAAGTAAACTTTTATATTTTTAATAACCTTTTAAGTTATATATATAATATTTATATCTAAATAAACTAGATAATAATAATATAGGTATAAGGTTAAATAAACCTTCTAAATTACTATAACCTAGTCCACAAGCGAGTTGGATTCCCAAGCGAAATGGATTTTTTTTCTTGGCATTTTATAAATTCTTAAATATCTCACGACACAATTAATTAATTTAATTACAGTATTCAGAATCGGAATCCTCACATATTTCTTCTCCTTTTTGACAAGTTCGTATGTTATGGCCATGTTTCCCACATAGTCCACAGCGCCGGCGAGGTACTAGACTCGGGCTCGTACAATTACTATTTTCTACTAAAACCACTTGTTCTTGC